GAGACGGCCAAAGATCGCCCGAAGACGCCCAACAGGGCCCCAAGGCAGCCCAAGAGGCCTCCAAGACGCCCCAAGGGCCTTCCAAGAGGCCTCCGAAGAGGGCCCCAAGAGGCCCAAATCGTTGATTTTCATTGTTTTTTTCGATGTGTGTTTGCGTTCTGGCTGTTTCGGCTTCCGGACGCTCCAAGACGGCCCAAGAGGCCCCCAAGACCGCTCCAAGACGGCCCACGAGGCTCCCAAGACGGCCCCGGAACGGCCCAGGAGGGCCCCCAAGACGGCCCAAGTGACGCCCAAGACGGACCAAGAGGCCCCAAGACGGGCCCAAGAGGGGCTCAAGAGGGGAACCGAGAACTGAAAAATCGAGCCCTCCGCCCCAGAAGGCGCCCAGGAGGCCCCAAAAAGGCCCCAATGAGGCCCCCAAGATGCCCAAGACGCCCCAAGATCGAGGCGCCCCAAATGAGGCCAAAAGAGGCCCACGAGGCCCACAAACGGCACCAATAGAGGCCCAAAAACTCGGCTAGCCAACAACGGTGCGACAATATGGGCGGCTGGTATATGAGCGAATGAGATTAAATAATCCCCCGAAAGGGGTGTGATCGAAGGCGAAGAGGGCGGGCCATCGAGGGTGGTAGGGTTACATTTGTTGAGGACTCGCGGGCAAGTAAGAGCGTTAAAGCCTTAAAATGGGTGTTGTTGATTGAACATTCATTTATTCTAAAGAATAATTATTGTTGGCCCCTGGTTCGCGACCCCCTCGCCGCGCCCTAGGCCGCAGCTCTCCCGCAGCAGCTTCGCAGCTACATTTTCATCATTTTCGTGAGGAAGCCTCAGGTTATACGATGTCATCAAGATCCGGTTGTTTTGTTGTAATCCGTTTTCCCTTGCAAAAAAAAACACTATAAAATGACATTTCTTGTTCTAATATAATCAAATTTCAAGAATCCCTTGCAAAAAATAAGGTAAAGTGGACATTCGCGCGCGCAAGACGAAATCCTTCCAAAACCTTAGTGTTCGTAGCGATTTCAACATAAAAAACATCAAAAAACCAATGGTTTAAAAAAAAAACGTGTCACAATTTCATCCCGCGCGCTCTTGCGGATTTGCAGGAAACCCAACTTTTTTAAACATTTCTGTCAAACGGGCTTTTGCGATCAACTTCTTCACGTGCTTCGAACTTCTCCAACAACGGTTGCGCACCTGCCAGGGCCATCATCCCTGTCAATTAATACCATGCGGGACACATTCGTTTTTTCTTTCCGTGCGCACGCCGAAATCTTCAAAAACCATTGGGTTTCGTTTTGTCCCCCCCCCCCCCCCCCCCCCCCCCCCCCCCCCCCTAAGGTAAATTTAGCACGCGAAACATTAAAATCACTTTTTAGACCGTAGGGCCCTTCAATCGTCGTTCGTCGATATCTAGCTTAGTTTCCACAAGTGTTACCACAACAAGTCACTGTACCCATGCGCCAGTGTAGTAGCCACGGTCGTCCGCAGGCCACGAAGTGAAGTGTCCGAACGTCATAGGGCGGGAAGCTGGGTGTGGGTGGTGGCGAAGAGTCGTTTGGAAATGTGGTAGAGCTTGAACCGGCCCCCCCACAAAGTGGGGGTATTGGCGGGCGTCGTATGAAAACCCTGGCACTGGTGAGAACACTGAGCGTTCGGGTAAAATGATTGTTGTTGTTGTTGTTGTTGTTGTTGTAGTCGGCGTCGCTTCAGTAGAAGTAATACTATTCATTTGTCCATCATGTCCTTGGGGGCGACGATCAATTGTGTCTGTGCTTTGTGTCCCTCCTGACGGAGCTCCTGCGAGGCAAGACGAAACCAGGACGAGGACAAGGTCGGGTGAGGATAAATCGAGAATCTCTGAGACCCAACGGTCCTGAGGGATGTGCCGCGCGCCGCGGCCTTCTCAGAGCGTCCCAGAAAGCTCTGAGAGCGTTCCGGACCTCTCTGGAACGGAGTTCTCCTCGAACCGGCTCCGTCCGAGGAGGTCTTCTTATGGGGTCCGGAAGCGGTGCGGTGACCACTGTCGGTGCGGAGGAATGCTTCGGATGTCTTCGTCGGTTCCAGGCGGTTTTCCAGCCTCGGGATGCGTTCCGCCAGCTGCGCCTCTCCGAGAGCGTTCCAAGGGTGCCCGGATCGTCCCGAACGGCCGCCAGAGACCCGAGTTGTGACCCGAAAACCATACGATGAGAAACACTGCAGCGGGGTTAGTACATCAGGGGTCCCGCAACCTGGCGACAGACCGTGCGGTGACCTCGTAATCCTAAGAAGACCTCACCGCACGGTCCGCCACCGCGCATTGCTTTGGACTCTGGAGGCCCCAGTTGCCCGAGGCATCCTCGGAGGATGGCCCGAGTCCCAAAATCGCGCGGTCACCGCACCGTTTGGGGGCCCCCGACCCTCGCAGGAGCGAGTGATGTCATCGTGCGAATTGCGACGAGGAGCGCCGAAGAAGGAGCGACTGGGCTTCTCTGGCCACGGCGAGCCTCGGCCACGAACGGGTCCCCCAACCCGGATCGAAGGACCGGGCCGACAGCCAGAGCCCCTCCTGAGCCCTGAGCCCCAGACTGTCCTTCCGTCAGTGTCCTGACCGTACTGAGCCCGACGGGGCGGCCGCAAATCCAGATGCAGATTTGACCGATGATTGCGCCGGAATGACCGAGGATTGACCGAACTCGGCGAAAGACCTCCCCGCTCAACCTCTGGAGGCCATGGCCCCAACGCCGATGCTGGAATCGACCTCCCAAGCGCTGCATCCGTAAAGGGAGAAGACACCGCGTAAACAGAACCCGTCGGAGGCCCGCGCGGATTTCCCTGCATCTGCACTGATCCCCCTCCTGGGCGCGCGAAGCGAACCATGCACAGGAGTGGACGCCCGAGCGATGGTAAGATCACCTCACGCGCCTCTCCACTGGTGCGTTTGACATCACAGAGGGTTTGGCTCGCGCGCGCAGACGCCTCTTCTGTGGCCCTCTGGGCTCAAGGCCCCATGTGGGGCCAGCATGTTTGGGGTGGGCGGGCGGGGCCATAGCTCGCCTGCTCGTCCGGCAGCTCGGGCCAGGCATTCCGAGGAGTGCCGGGTAGCGGCCGGGCCAGGACCCCCCTCTCCAGTGCGGGCGGCGACCAAAGGGGTCGCGCGGCCCGCTGCAGCCGCCAGATGCGGCCAGTCCACACGCTCGAGTGCAGCGTGGCGACGGCCATCCTCGCGATGCTGACTCGGCTGGGCGCGTCTCTGGGCGTAGGACTGCACGCCAGCTTCACCGCGACGGCCACGGCCGTGGGGCCCGAGGACGGCCACGCGCGGGCAGACCCGGGCGAGAGCGACTCGAGCGACAAGGAGGAGCACGAGGGGCAGCTCGGTCAGGACGGCCATCCCGGCTGCTCCGAGGAGAGCGGCGCGACGCCGCTGGCCATCGAGGAGTCTGCGGCAGAGCCCGGGCCGCTCTCGGCGGCAGCGGCCCTGGCTCTCCTGGGGCCCCCGGCCACGGATCCTCCCACGGCCAGGGCCGACGCAGGCGAGCGCCCCCAGCCAACTGGTGAGTACGAGTACTACTACCATGGCTACTGCTGCGCGGACGCCAGCCCAGCAGCGGCGCCCGTGCAGCCACCCCCCAGCGAGGCCACCGGGGCGAGCCCTGAGCAGGGGGAGGGCGCCGCCATCGGAGGAGAGGAAACGCAAGCAGCCAGCCCACCCCCGCCACCCCCTGGCGAGCCGATGGGCGCGCCTGGCGTGTCGGCGGCGAGAGGTAGGCGGGACGAGGGGCCAAGCTCGGGGCCTGGTACTACCATGGGAGTGCATCTCAGCATGCCCTGGATCAACGCACGGGTCGAGGCAGCTTTGAAGTGCCTCGGCGAGAAGGTCGGGCGCGCGCTGGGCGCTGTGCCGTCTGAGATGAAACGAGCCTCCTCATCATCATCAGAGGGTGAGGACGAGGAGGAGGAGGAGGAGGAGGAGGAGGAGGAGGAGGAGGAGGAGAAGGAGGAGGAGAGGCGGCCTGAGGGGCAAGGCCCCTTTGAGGGCCTAGTGCCTCGATCCGCCGTCGTCACCATTCGGCGCGAGAGGAGCAAAACCCCTGACATGTTTCGAACCCGAGCCTGCATGTGCGCCACGGACTCCCGCACCTGCTGGACCTCAGCCTCCGTGCGGGCCTTCAGCGCCTCCAGGTCCGCCTGCATGCGGGCGCGCAGCGCCCCGTTGGCGAAGCTGCGCGCGCGCGTCTCGAACATGCCCTCGTCACTGGTGCCGCCGGTGAGCGCCGCGACCCTCCACATCCAGAGGCGCGCGCGCATTCGGTCCCGCACCTTCAGGAAACAACTCCTGATAGGCCTTCGTACAACAAGTTCAACTCTATGCAGCCCGACTGGGGAGCCATTGACCCAAAGTAGCCCAGATGAAACTGAGGACTGAGACAGGTTAGGCCAGGCTAGCCAGAATTAGGCCAGATGGAACAAGGTCATGCCAGGTGGGGTCGGTTTTCGGCCACGGGCATACCAGCGTCGATGCTGACTTTGACCACCCAGGAGTTGCATTCCAGCACACCTGGCGGAACGCGGCGTGCCCCTCGCCCTCCGCCCCGCGCCGCGCGACCCACTGCAGGAGCTCGCGGCCGCAGGCGCGTGTCGCGAGCACCTGTCGGCCACGCCGCAGAAAGAGCCGCCCCGGGTCAGGGGTGCCCTTCGGTGCGCGCTCTCCAGGGAGCGCGGGGGAGGGGGGGCGGGGCCAAACCCGAGCGCGCAGGCCGCCGCCATCCCGTCGCACCAGGCGATCGGGGGGCCCGGCGGGCTCGCGCCAAAGGTCACTCTGACGAAGGGCTGCGTTGACCCAGACGTTCGACGTCGTCGCTTCTTCACAGCGTGCCCTGTCATCCGACGTTGCGAAACAATGCAACATCGCGAAGATCACGACTGGAGCCCTAGACGCCGCTGGATTTACGCCAGGATCTCAGGAGAGGTCTGGGCACTTCTGATGTGCAGCCGAGCCTCTGGCAGGTGCAGGCACCCCGCCACCAGCCCCACGCAATAGCCGCCGAGGCCCACGAGCCCGGCGGCACCGGGGCACGTCTGGGCGCCGCCAGCGGCGGCCGCCGCAGCAGGCGCCGCCTGGAGGGCCGCCAGCTTGCCCTGAGATCCTAAACCCTATCGAGTCATACGGGAAATCACGACGGACGGCTTTTGACAGTCTTCGTCCTCCTCCTCCTCCTCTTCCTCCTCCTCCTCCTCCTCCTCCTCCTCCTCCTCCTCCTCCTGCTACTCCTCCCTCCTCCTCCTGCTACTCCTCCCTCCTCCTCCCTCCTCCTCCCTCCCCCTCCTCCTCCTTCCTCCTCCTCCTCCTCCTCCTCCTCCTCCTCTCCGAGGGCCCCTTACCGGGCCTCGGCACCGTCAACAGACGACTCAGGATGAAGAGCTGGCCCCTGGGAAGGGGTCTAGACCTCTGGGAGTCCACGTCATGAAACAATCACGACATCGATGGCCTGGGATGTGGGTGTTGTGTTTGTTTTCGCACCGAGCGTTTGCGCCCAGATCGATCCGGCCCGACAAATGCCGCTGAATAATGGGGCCAAGTGGCTCCGGTCGTGATTTTGATGCACTTTCTCGCGACGTCGGAACTCGGTCGGGGAACAAAAAGATAGCCACACCACCACTCCCCGGACCTCTCCCGGGCCCTGGCACTGGGGCGCGTTCTGACCGGCACCTCGAGGGAGAGGCCAGCCGTGGCGACAAGGGGCCTCCCGGACGAGCAGCGGCAGTGGCACCTCTCCCTCTGACTCGGGGCCCGCTGGGCTGCCGCCAGCGACTGCGCGATGCCCAGCCGCAGGTGCAGCGGGCAGCAGTCGTCGTCCAGCAGCTCCTGCAGCAGGCTCCGGGGCACCGGCACCGCTGCCTCGCCCCGGACCCCGCTCTCCATCTCGGGCGGGTCGCGCGGCCACCAGGGCCGTGCCCAAATGCGCTCGCCCTGGGGCCGGAATCCGCCGCCGAGCCGCGAGGCACCGCGCGGAGGGTCCTGACTCAAAGCATGGTCGCGCCGTACATCTGACACAATCTCGACGGGAGGTGTCTGTTTTGTTGCTTTGCCGTTTTCTGCCTCCGGTGGTCCTCGCCGGGCCCCGAGACCCTAAAAGAACGACTCGCGGTGAAAGAACCCGCCCGGGGAAAGGGTCGGGGCGAGTCGAGACCGCGCATGGAAAAAAGCAAGACGTCGCAAGTCGGTCTATTCGGGCCCTCTGTTGTCGAGCATCGCAAGTGCTCTTGGAAAGGCCCCGGCCCCGAAGATCCAGGCTTCCCTTGGGACCATCGGGTGGCTTCTGGAGCGCCACGCGCGACTTCCTCCGAGGTTGAAGATCATGGAAGAACGTGGTTGCCGCCGTGGGCTCCAACAGGCGAGTTTGCGCACTCGGGATGGTAAGCTGTGTGGTGGAAGCTGCGTGGTGCGGTTACATTTTGCCAACTCATAAATTATCAACTCTGCTGCTCGCGCAAACCTGCCGCACTCCCACCAGCAACTTGCGTTGCAAAACTCATGCGGCGGCGATTGCGACGACTGCTTGGCCATGGCTGGCGCATCTTTGTGGCCGCGAAACCTCGCTCGCAGAGCGGCCGGCTAGTTTGGCAGCTGGCACAACCGATGCGGCGGGGATGGCGCTTACCGATGGCAACGTTCCAGGGCGTGTCAAGGGACGCGCTAGCGCGCAGGAACTTCCATGCTGGTCGGTGGCTCGGGCGGGCGCGGCATCATGATGACGTCGACACCAGTGGCAACGATGATGATAGTAGCGATGGTGATGGCGATGATGACGATGACGATGGCAAGGCCAATGACGGCGCCGAATGCTGGTAACGCAGGTGACGACGATGATGGCCATGTGTCGATGATGAAGGTGCTTGGGTGATGATGGCGGAAATTGCAGCGATTGCCGATGACGATGACGTAATGCGGCGGCGCTGGTGAGGGTGATGGTGAGGAAGTGCGCGCGCGGAAATTCATGAACCCTGGCAAAGTTCTTGTTGGATAACATCTGCTGTCTTCACACACTGCTTCGGAAATGCTTTGGAACATATGGTTGGGAAACGATTTTGACACGCTCGCGTGGCGGCGCGCGCATATGGTCCGCATGGTATTAATTGATACGGACTCGTGCGCTGGGCGCGTGCTGGATTGATGTGGATGCGCAGCGTGGAGAGATGATAATGCAGAGTCTAGGCAAGACTGCTCAAATCACATGGTCTTCCTATGATTTCAACAAAAACGCGTGGGCATGATATTTGAAAGACTTCCCAAGGAACACCAAAGGGCTTTTATCGAACATAATTGTATGTCGAAATCCTGGCAAAACTGATGTGTTTGGTATGAGTTCGACCTGTGCGCGCGTGTGGACTTTGTGTCGTCCGTTGCAGAAGGTTTAGTTCACAATGAACTCTTGCGATCGACGAGCGCACGCATAATATTATTTGACAGGAATGAGGGGGCGATGCCCGGCTTGGCTGGTATAGCATCATACTCTAATGTCAAAATTAACTACGAGGCAGCATCATATGTAATTTGCAATGTCCCAGGGGTGCCGGCAAGTTCAGGTGGGAGATGGTGGTAGAGCCTATTCTCTTGACAGGAGAATCTACGGTGAGGGCAGTGGATGAACAACCCTCAAATACGGAATCCAAGGTCTGAAGACCGGTGGAACACCATTGCTGGCTTGGCGTGTTTCCCCTTCCGGCAGGTTGGGGTCGTTAGATTTTAACAACAAGCCTCCCGATCTCGTCCACCCTGCATACCGCGGCCGCCAGATTCATAAGGTCCCCAGTGTCCCCGAGAGTCCCGCCTCGCGCCCCTTTGCATACCGCGGCCGTCAGATCCCCAGGTCCCCGAATATCCCCGAGTGTCCCGCTCGCGCCGGCAAATCATAACATGACAGAGCGGTATTGCAAAATTGCAGAACATAGTACAGCATCATCCGATTAGCTATGACAGAACAGAGCATGACCTTCTCGGCCGCTCTTGCGCCCCAGCGAAAGCTCCTTTGAGCCCTTTTTGGAAGCGTCTTTCGGCTGTCCTCGTCCGTCGTGGGGCTCTTTTGGGGCAATCTTGGGGGTCCATTTGAGCGCCTCTGAGTTCGGCGCAGCCCTCTTGGATTCATCCTGAGCGGACACCAATGACACAAGGACTACACATAAGACTGTCGCATGATTTGGCTGATGTGGGTCGCCTAGATATCCTCGTGGAAACCCCTGGGACCATCTTGGAGGCATTATGGGGCCCTATCGGGCTGCCCAGGGGCCCTCTTGGGCAACGATGGCGACGTCTTGGGTTGTATTATGTCAGACCTTTTTTTTGACATGGAACATACTGCAGCAAGCAATGCCTGCAGTGCGAACGGCAAAGGTCCCCCCTGCTCTTTGCGGGTGTACCCCATTGCCACCTCACACTTCTGCAGAGCTGCGCGCTTTGCACCATGGAGACACAACTTGCAGCAGACAGTGTCTGTTCGAGCGGGATATGGTACACTCTGCTATTTGAAATTGCATGCCGATCTGCCCTCACAGATCGCGCAGCAAAGTTACGCGCCAATCCGTTACAGCAAATGTCAATGATGAGAAGGCCGCGGCGGCGCAATGCCACGAGAAGAAGCGAGGCGAGGAGAAAATTTGCCGAATTGTGGAGACTCTTGGGGGGCATCTATGGCCGCATTAGTGCTCTATTGGGGTGCCACTTGGGCCGTCAAAGGCCCTTTCGGGGGCCGTCTTGGAACCCTCGTAGGGGGCAACTGGGGCCCCCAGGGGGGCCTCTTGGAAGCCTCTTGGGGCTTGGCTGGCGGGGTCGGCGTCTGTGTTGCCGCTGCTGGGGCTCGCCCGGGGGCGTCTTGGGCCCTTTCGCGGGGCCTCTTGGGCCGTGGAAGGGGCCCTCTGGGGCCGCCGTGGGGCCCTCTTCGGGGTCACTGGGGCCGCCTGGGGGCCGTCCGCGGGCGTCTTGAGCCGTCGGGGGCCCCAAAAAATGAGAACGCTGACATCTCTGAATCTGTCTAAACTCCTGGGGGCTCTTCGGGAGTTCTTGGAGGCCGTTTTGGTGCGTCGAGGGTGCCTCTTCGGACGTCATGGGATCCTCTTGTGGCCTATTGGGGCTGCTTGGGGCGCCTTCGGAGGGCATCTTGGCGTTCTCGTGGAGGTCGTGCGCCAGCCTCTGAAAAGTATCGAAGGCAAAAAAACGGAATGGCAAACGTCATACATTGCCTCTAGGTGTTTGGAAATCCTTGGCGCTCTCATCGGCGGTCTTGGAGGCCTCTGCGAGGCATCTTGGTGCTCTCGTGGGGGTTTATGCGGGTTTCTTGGGCCGTCTGGAGGCTCTCGTGAGCAGTCTTGGGCACTCTGTCCTGGGCCCTCTCGTGAGCAGTATTGAGGCGCCCCTGGGCCCTGCTGGGCTGTCCTGGGACTCTCCTGGGGGCCTCTTGGCACCTCTTGGGGCGGTCTTGTGGGCCTCTTGGGCCGTCGTGGATGGTCGGAAGCTTGAAGAATAGAGAACCCCGAAGCATTGAAAAACCTTCGGGGAAATTAAACATGTTCGCCTCTCGGGGCGCTCGCCTTGGGCCTCGGGCGTATTGGAGCCTGCCCAAAGCCGTCCTGGCGCCTTTTTGAAGCCTCCGGGGAGCTTCATGGGGCGGAGAATTAGGAATTCAGTTCCTGACCACTCTCCGCGCCTCTTCCCCAGGGGGCAGGGTGATGCGTGGGGAGACAGCACATGCTATTCAGGACGTGCAATGGCGAAGCCAACACCGATTTCTCAACGCAACTGATCAGCAACTGCCGTGGGCCTCCACGGAAGGTTCTCTAGAACAAGTGACGCGCATCTTGTGCGCCGAATGCGTAGACCAGACTTTGCCACGCGGCGTGCGGGGGTTGGCGGGTGGGCGGCTTTTGAGCCACCGCATCGCCACGGACCGAAAAAAATATGCGATCAAGAGGCTCCGTTCTAGGAGCACAAGTCGGACGACAAAACGTTCCTGACCACTCTCCGCGCCTCTTCCCCAGGGCCAAGGTGATGCAGGGTGATGCGTGGGGGGGGGGCAGCGCCTCTTCCCCAGGGGCAGGGTGATGCGTGGGGGGGGGGCAGCACATGCTACTCAGGACGTGCAATGGCGAAGCCAGCGCCGATCTTTCAATGCAACAGATCAGCAAGTGCCGTGGGCCTCCACGGAGGGTTCTCCAGAGAAAATAGCGACGCGCATCTTGTGCGCCGAGTGCGTGGATCATAACACCAATACCTGGCCACGCGCCCCATGCCCGCATCGACTGTCCTTGGGGGGCGGGGGGGGCATTTACAACTAACTCACAAGTGGAAGACCCACGGAGGCGACCCGCCTCAGGATAGCGAAGACGGACCGATCGGTGAAAGAGCTACACTTGGGCACGCTGCTGTCGAGTGAGCGTAATTAGCGGTCTGACGGATCAGCGTGCCATGCTGTTCGTGCACTCGGACACTGGCCGCGGCCCGCCCAGCGCCCGCGGCCTTTGATTGGCTGAAGGCCACGCGCAGCATGCAAGGCATCGTGGGGCGGGCCGCCGCGCCGAAGCTGGTGGGGCACGCTGATGAAGTCGTGCGCGCCAGCTTCAAGCGCTGCTTCTCTGAGAAGCTTTTCACGCACAGCAAGACAGAGGGGGGGAACGAGGGAGGGGAAGGAGGCGACAAGGAGCGGGAACATGCCTGGAGCGCCAACTATATTCCTGGGCACTTGCGGCGGATAGGAAGACTGGAGCCGGCCACGACGGTGCAATCAAAATCGAAATTCTTCGCGGGCTTCGCATGGTCGCGGCCGAGGGGCGTGATGATGGCGGCCACGTCTTGTCGGCCAGTCCTCGGCCGATCAATGATACGACGGCCTCCGACAATGTGAGAGACTTCGAGGGGCAACGCTTCGCTAGGTCTCAGATACATGTCAAATTGAACAAGGACGGCCAACGCCGTCAAAGCCTGGGGCAGCGAGCCGCCGGCGACCTGCATCACTAAGAGCAGCGCGGCGTCCGAGGGCGGCGGCAGCCTCGTCGACGCGGGTCGCTTGACCGCCCAGCCGCCCAGGGCGTCCTTTGACTTCAGAAAGTGCGGGCGAGCGGCAGACTGGCCGCGGATCTCGCGCAGTCCGTAGAGGGCGGTCTTGGCAAGATACATGGGCTCGCCCGCGAAGAAAAGAGCCTCGCAGCACACGTTGACCGCGTTGTCAGCGCTGTCGACCGCGCCCAGCCGCAGCCCCATCGACGGGGCGTAGCCCTCGAGCTCTGCCACCGCAGCTGCGTAGGCGCCACGCGTAGCTGGCCGCAGCCTCGCGAGCCGCAGGCGGTCGCCCGGCGCCCGGCCCTGCCCCTCGAGCGGGGCGTCGGCCCGAGCCGCCGACGCCGCCCTCCGCTGCCGCGTCGCCGCGGCCTCCGCGCGCGGCACGCGCGGCGGCCGCCGGCGCCCGGCCTCGGGCCGGCGCTCTGCAGGCGGCGGGGGCGGGGCCTCCGCGGCGGCAAGGGGTCGTCGCGACGACCGGGCCCGCGGGCTGGCAGCTCCTGCGTCAGCGCCGCGGCTCCCCGAAGCCGCGCGGCCTCGGGTCGAGCGCACTCAGCCAGGAGTCGCGCCGGGGGAGGCGGGGCCTCCGCGGGCAGATGGGCGCGCCAGCGGGCGCGGCCATCGGGCGAGCCCAACGCGCCCAGTCGGCGGGCTCCGAGCGACCCCGGGCGCCCGGCAGGGCATGCATCCTCGGCGGCCGGCCGCGCCGCGGCACGGCGCCAGCTCGGGGGGTAGGCGCCCGCAGGCGTCGTTCGCCAGACCCAGCCTCGGACAGGATGCCGAACCTTGCCCTGCAGCCCCACGCGGCGGCGGCCCTGGCAGACAGAGCGCAAGCCCGGCGCGCCCAGCGCAGCGAACGACCCAGCAACAGTTGCCGAGTGAAGCCGACCAGGAGGCGGTCGGCAGGTCCTGGCTCTCGCAGACCGCCAGCGGGCTCCCAGCGCGCGCAGGGGGAGCTCGATGTGGACCCGCTCGACGAGGCCCCGCTTGAGCCAAGACTCCACAGAACGCCGAAGACCCAAGCGAGCGAGGTCACATTGGGGACCTCCGCGAACGATCGGCACAAGACATCTGAGGCCCGCTTCGCGGGCCTCTCCTGCGAGTCGCGCGCGGCCCGAGAAGATCTCCAGGAAGACAGGTCCCCCGAGTTCTCTGGGAAACTGGACGGGCCCCCGAGCCCCGAGACGGGCGCCGAAGAACGTGGCCGCCAGGAAGTGGAGAGGGCCCATCCAGGCCTGGGGGGCGGCAGCCAGTTGCTGCACTCGGCGACGCTGACGTTGACGGGCGGCCCGAGGCCTCCGGAGGTTGTTTGTCTCCAGCGTGATGGTGGCCCATCCAGGCCAGCGGCAGCGTCGACCAGCAACGGCGCGTGACGGCGTCGTCGGATGTGAGCGGCCCCTGGGATCCGTCAGTTCACGTCGAGCAGCGGCGGTGCGAGACCCGACCAGATCGAAGTCGCAGGTGGCGAACTCGACAGCGGCGGCCGCGCGGACACGAGCATCGGCACGAGGATGAGAGGTCGCAGGAGTAGATGAGGCAAGAGGGGCGCTGCGTGAGTGACTCCGTCTCTCGAAAGGATAGCCGCCTGCGGTGCTAGGCGGGCGGGCCGACGGCGCGGCGCCCCTGGCGCGGGGCCGCGGGCGCCGCCGACCACGTCGGCGGAGAGGATGGGCCCTGGCTCCGGCCGAGGCGCCGCGAGCACCAGCTCGCCGCGCGTCCGGGCCGATGGGGGCCCGCAGCAGCCCACGCACACGGTAGCGGGCGGGCAGCAGCTCTCCTCTGTCCGCCGCCGGACTGCCCAGGTCGGCAGCGTTGAACTCGCCTGGGACGCGGCGCCGCCTGGAGCGCAGCTCGCAACCGAAAAGGACGGCGGCCACCTTCCGACACTGGAAGAGATTCTCTCCCAGAAAAGCCCCCAACTCGTGGCCCGACCCATCTCGAAGGCACACGCGCCCGACAAGTTGTCGCGCGGCGCGAGGACCTCCATGCCGTGGAATGCCTCGCTGGCTGCGGCCCGCAGCATGGGCGCCACGGCCGCGCGCGCCCCCGGCGCGTGGGCGCTCCCGGGGCGCCGCCAGGCGCCCCGCCGCGCCTCCTGCCAGCGCCGCGGGCCCAGCAGCTCCTCCGAGAGGGCCGCCGGGGGGGCGCCGATCTCGAGCTCCACGCGGCGACGCCTCGCAACTGCGCGGCGAAGCTGCGGCCGTGAGTCGACGTCAAAATCACCGCCGCCGTCGAGGAGCCCCGTGGTCCGCCCCGCGGAGATCGCATCATCAGGGTCGACAGGCGCCCCGGCAGCGACGAACCTCTGCCTCTCCTTCCAGCGAGTGGCCTCCAGCACCTCATCAGGTCGCACGCAGGCCCGGCAGACCGCATGGCCCTTGAGCGAGCTGTCGGTGACGAAGGCGACGTCGGCGGGCACTCGGCAGCGGTCAACCTCCCCCAGGAAGACCAGCCCAGCGGCCGCCCGCAGCTCGGCCACGACGCCATAGGGTAGACGAACCACGGGATCGAGGGGCCCTCCACCGATGAAGTCGCCAGCGCTCCAGCGCGCCTCGACGATGTCCTCCTCGGGAGAGATGTCCGCCGCAGGTCGCGCCACCGCAGAATCAAAATTGCCCGGGGCCTCGACCGCGCGAGATGGGGCCGCGCCCCGCATCTTGATAGGCGCGGCCGAGCTCCGAAAGATATCGAGCAGCTCGGGGCCGTGGCCACGACGCGTCTAGCCCTCGCCAGCACCGCTGTAGAGGTCCTTAAAGTCTAACCGTGCTATTCGGCATCTAGCCCACGAGCATTCGATGCCTCGGATACTTGGCTTACTCTTCCCATCGTTAAGCTAAAAAGGCCTATGAAGCGACTGGGCAAACTTACTAATCGCGTTCTCATCCTTCTCTTTTTTAGGTTTCCTCAAAACAAATCGATGAGGCAGTTCAAGGTAACCCGCTTATCACATATACAGTTTAGCCCCAGCGCGCCCCCACGCGCCGCGCAACTCAATGTTCCAGCGCGAAGGTGGGCACCAGTTCCCCTTCGCCGCAGGTGGCAAACCCGCTGGAAATAAGAGCCATTGCAAATCCTGCTCCGCGTTGTCGCATCGCCTCTCGCCTCGCGTTGACATCCAGCTCCAAAATCAACTTGCTCCTGTATTCAGGGCTAAGTTTCCGCCAGGCTTGTCCCGCGGCCCTCGAGGACATACGCTGATGCGTGCTCCAGTGCGTAAGCGTCCAAAGTTCTAAACACGTCCCAAGCGTCGCACCATCGCATCGTGCTTCGTCGCAGTCGCTGAACTCGACGAGGGCCGAAACCACACGTGCCATCCAGCCCAGAGGTCCCATGGCAGCGGGATGCAGGATGGCCAGAGTTTCTCGAGGCGGCGCTCTGGCCGCCGCTGCCGTTTCTCCCCAGCGCGCGAGGCGCGAAGATTAGCCCTCGCCTCTCCAGCACGAGGCGAGGGCTAATTTAGCCCTCGCCTCTCCAGCGCGAGAACCTCGAGGCGTCCGAGGATTAGCCCTCTTAGCCCTCGCCTCTCCAGCGCGAGAACCTCGAGGCGCCTGAGGATTACGCCTCTCCAGCACGAGAGCCTCTAGGATTAGCCCTCGCCTCTCCAGCGCGAGAACCTCGAGGCGTCCGAGGATTGGCCCTCGCCTCTCCAGCACGAGAGCCTCTAGGATAAATTAGCCCTCGCCTCTCCAGCGCGAGAACCTCGAGGCGTCCGAGGATTAGCCCTCGCCTCTCCAGCACGAGAGCCTCTAGTAGCCCTCCCTTCCCCAGCGCGAGAGCCTCGAGGCGTCTGAGCCTTCGCTCCAGCGCGAGAGCTCTTAGTGGCCATCGCGCCCGGCCTGACTTCAGTCTGAGCCGAAAAAGGCGCGCCCGGAGTTCGTTGTTCGCGCAGGCAGGCGGCAGCATTATTGGGGCTACGCTTTGTTGGCGGGGACGCAAACTGCGCGATGAGGAGCGCGTTGATTGGGCGCGCGTCGTGGCGCATGCAGGCGTCTGGGCATGATATCTGTAGGATTGTACCTAACGCGTCCATTTGCAGTTCAAACTTAAGGATTCGCCAAAATTTTCGCGAGATCCCCAAGAGGCAAATAAGGCCAGCCAGGTTCGTCACAAATTTTATTTACAGCGTATATTACACATGCGAAACAACTCCAATGGGATCCTAGGAGGATCGCTAAGAAGACATCGCTAAGACGACAATGAAACTTAAAGGGGGGCCTAACCTACTAAGGGCATCTGCCTGCGAGCGAATGAACGTCATCGTCACGTCCTGACCTCCTCTCCACTCCTCCTCCTCTTCCCCCTCCTCCTCCTCCTCCTCCTCCTCCTCCTCCTCCTCTTCCTCCTCCTCCTCCTCCTCCTCCTCCTCCTCCTCTCTCTGACTCCTACGTGACGTGTATATTCTGCCCTTTTCGATGCTGCGGCTTCGGGCGTCGCTCAAAGCAAAGTCGCTTATATCTTAGCTCCACAGCGCAAAACGCGCGAGCTCTTACAGATTTAACCCCAGACTGGTAAGTTTAGCCCCAGACTGCCTGCTGCCGCTGCTCAGAACTCAAGCTTCTGGCAAAGCGCCTGCCGCGATCGCGCGAGCGTGCGCCTTCTCGAAGGCCGGCTCGACGGCTGACACGCACAGGGGCCGCTTGAACTCGGAAAAGCCCGGCAGCAGCAACAGAGGTTAGGGGGGCGCAGGGGGGGGCGGAAGACTAGAGGAGGGAGAAGATGATGAGGGGGCCACTTTTCCTTCCTATTCCATCCCCCCCCTCTGACGCCTTCTGCCGCCGCCTTCCTTTGCGCCTCGCAGTCCGCGCGCCAAATATTTTGGAGCTTGTTGAGATCGGTGGCGGCGTCCCCGTGCTCCCCAGGGTGCGCCCGGGGGCGGCTTTTGCGCACTATGCTTAGCGCCTGTGCGAGGTCCATCTGGCCCAGTGCCACGAGGCAGATCGCGGCCGCGCACGCCGAGCGGAACTCCCCCTGCTTGCAGAAGATGAGCACCTCAGCCCCATGGGCACCAGCCAGCGTCCTGACGACGACCAGGAGCTGCTGGTTAACGCGAGCGCAATTCCACGTGGCGCGCAGGATGACTGGCGCCACTCCCACGCCACACAGCCCCTCTGCCCACTGCCGCTTGCCAGCCCCAAGGCAGTCCACCAGGATATCCCAGCCGTGCCTCGGCCCGGCTGGGTTCTGCGCGGCCGCCGCGCCGCCGAGCCACCAGTTTGTGCCAAAACCTATCTGGAGCTTCGACGGGATGACGTTCCCGGGGGCCGCGTGCAGCAGATTCTGAGCCCCGCCAGTGTTGCCGCAGCCATCCTGCTCGACAGTCTGCCGAAATTCGCGCATGCGGTACTTGAAGGAAAGCGCCTGCAGGACTGCGTCCTCCAAGTGCTCCTCGACAGGAGGCAAGCGATGATATAATCAGCTCGGGGGAAGGGGTCAATCATGATATGCCCTGCGGGGGGGGGGTGAGGAGGGCCAGGAGGGGGCCCGGGGGGGGGGGCGCCTACGGCCCCCAGTTTAAATTAAATTAGATATCCTGCTGGGCTCTGCCACTGGTCCAGCGGGGCACCAGGCGCTCGCCCGTCAGCATCTCGTACGCCACCTTCTAGCTTAGTTCGACCCTAGCGCCAGCCCTAGCCTATCCCAGGGGGCCCAGGGGCGGGGGGGGCTAGTGGTAACGATGATTAGCCCTGTCACAGCACCGTCTCGAGCGACGACTCAATGTCTTCGTCGTCAGAAAACGCTGGCTGCTGCAGCGCTGGCTCAGCGCCGCCCACCTGGGAGGGGGTGATGCATGCTGCTTCCTATCATTACTACTACTACTACTACCACTACTACTACTACTACTACTACTACTACTACTACTACTACTACTACTACTACTACTACTACTACTGCTAATACTACTGCAACTATTGCTACTACTGCTGCTGCTGCTGCTGCTACTACTACTACTACTACTACTGTTGCTAGTCTACCTACTACGACTACTACTACTACTACTACCACTACTACTACTACTACTACTACTACTACTACTACGACTACAACTACTACTACTACTACTACTACTACTACTACTACTACTACTACTACGACTACTACTACTACTACTACACTACTACTACTAACTAATGCTACAATACATCAGCAGTACTACTAACTACTACTGCTACTACTACTACTACGACTACTACTATTACTACTACTACTACTACGACTAATACTACTACTACTACTACTACTACTACTAGTACTACTACTACTACTACTAGATGTTGCTACTACTACTACTACTACTACCACTACTACTACTACTACTATACTACTACTACTATTACTACTATTACTACTACTACTACTACTACTACTACTACTACTAGTACTACTACTAATACTACTACTATTACTACGACGACGACGACGACGACGACGACAACTACTACTACTACTACTACTACTACTACTACTACTAGTACTAGTACTACTACTACTACTACTTTCGTTCTCTTTTTTTAATAATCTAGAAGTGAAGCTCGGAGGCGCGCCGCCGCGCGCGCGGCGGCGTTGCTGAACCTCGCTACTATATTATTCGCCATTAATAAATCTGCATTTAATTCCAAAAACGAAATCGGAATTTTCTGGGGCCCTTTAAGGAGGCCGAAGGGCGGACAAAACGCGAAACATCAAACTTAATCTGATAGGCGGCCAACAAGAGGCAAATAAAGGATGAGAAAATAGTTGTTTTGGTTGTTAATATTCATACTTGTATTATTACTACTACTACTACTACTACTACTACTAGTACTATCACTATTACGTTTACTTCTACTACGTTTTTTTTGTCTAAACAACTAAAACTACACCTGCAACCACAACCACGACAACAACTGTTATTACGACTACTACTACTACTACTACTACTATTACTACTACTACTACTACTACTAATCGTTCTACTACTACTACTACTACGACGACGACGACAACGACTACTACTACTACTACTCCTAGTACAACTATTACTCCTACTTTTAAATCTTTCTATGTTCACGACGACTTACCTGACGCGATGCGACGCGACGCTTCATTGCCATCAGCGCGAAACGCAAGCCCCCAACGCGCGAAAACACGCACGCCGGATGGTAGCCACCAGCAGGCAGCCTCGTTGGCAGCCGCTGGCCAGGGCGGGGGCGCGCGACCTCATGGGCGGCGGTTATTACCGCCGCCTCATGGGCGGCTCGTTCATCCGCTTCTCGCCGCGTCCGCACCGCCAGGGTCGCCGCCGCTTGACGGCGCGACCCGTCGCAACTCGGCCAAGGCGATTAAGGGCGTTTATTATCGACGACGATCGGCCCGATCGGTTCTAACAATGGGATTGAATTAAATTGAGCGGCGGGGGGGGGGGGCGCCCGAGGCCGACGCGGCTGCCATCGAGCGCTGACGCCTCGGCCCCGCGCTGGGCGACCATCCGTCGTCGATGGCCAAGGTCGCCAGATCAGATCAAAGCCAGTGCCCACGGCAAGCTCCAGGAACGCGTTCCTGTCCATGAACGCGTTCCCCGTAGGGCAGCTCCAGAAACTTGTGCGTCGTGCACGTCGTCGTCGCACAGCAGTCGAATTCTTGGTATCCACGTCGTCGTCGCGTCAACGCGCGCGCCTG